GGGGGGCGGAGCCTCTGCGTGGGGGCGGAGATACGGACGGGAGAGCCCCGCCCCCGGGCTCGGGGTTCCCCTGGGGGCGGGGACTCCCTGGGCAGCGGCTGGGGATTCCCTTGGGGGCGGGGCTCGAGAAGGGACGGGGCTACGGTGGGTGAGTCCCCTCCTAAGGTCTGGGGGAAGCCCTAGAGGGCGGGCCTAAGGGGATCCCCTTCCTAGGGGCGGGGCTAAGGCAGGGGGATTCCCCCTAGGGGCGGGGCTGAGTCCGGGTGGTTAATGGGCGGAGCTTAGAGTCGGTGGGCGGGGCTACATGCCTAAGGGCGGGTCCCTATCTGCCCCCTTTGGATCGCGCCCGGGTTGAAGCTCCCGCCATGGTGCTGACGGGACCGCAGACGTCGGGCGCCGCACAGCCAATAGGGAGGCAGGCTAGCGGGGGGGCGGTGTCGCCCCTAGGAGCGGTGCCCCCACTGCCAATGGTACCCCTCACTCCCGACCTGCACTGCCCGGACACCTGGGTTCTCTCCTTTGTCTCCACCGTGAGTGACAGCTCGAAGACCCGCCCCGGCCGGATGTGACCCAATTGCCCTCCTGCCCCGCCCAGATCTGGGCCCCTGTTATATGCTGCCAGACACACCCCAAAAGTAGCTGCATTTTGGTGGGTGGGGGGGCTCTGCTGGGAGGGGGGACAGTGGGGCTGACAAGGGAGCGTGGCCAAGACAAAGGGGCGGGGCTTCCAACTGTCTCCACCCCTCACCCCCCTGGGTTCTCTGTAGGGCTGCGGAGGAGGAAGCCTGTGGCCTCTGGGTCCCGGGGGGTGGACACCTGGGTTCTCTATAGGGCTGGGAGGGCCCAGTCATGTGACACGGATCCCACTGCAGTAGGAGGGGTAGGGGAGCTATAAGCCCTTCCCCTTTCCCTCTGCTACCAACCCCCCATGAAAAAGTCCTTATGGGAGGTTTTGCACAATGCTCATGTGACACCGATCCCATTGGTGCACAAGGGGGTGGAGAGTAAAAACCATTCTTCTTTCCCTTTGCTACTCACCCTCTCTTGTGAAAACCTCCCCTTGCATGAGCCCTCGTGCGAGGTCTGTCAAATGACACTCATCCCAGGAGAGGGCTGTGGGCTGTTCCCCATCTCTTTTGCCACTACTCCTTTCAGTCTGTGATGACACGCCCCACCTCACATGAGGGTCCTTGTGCAAAGACCTCTGTGTTTCATGAGGCCAGGTCAAGGGCAAACGAAGGCATGCAGAGGTAGAACAACTCCTGCTCAAAGCAGTGAAACATGCAACCTTGTCCCTTTGGGGTTGACTTTAATTGAAAGGGGAGTAGGATCTGAGCACCAACCTGCCCTGGTTCCATGTGTCAGCTGCTCCATGGCCCAGCAATTGCTCCCTTTCCAGGGCCGCAGAAGGCAGGCATGGGCCAGACAATAACAGTGTCTCTGACTTGTGCATACGGAAAAGACATTCACCTTTCTTGCCAAAAAGTTTTGCCTGAAATACATTTGAAAATACATGATGATGGAAAATACATTACTGGAACAAATATTACTAGAAGATATATACAGATCTTGCTAGACAAGATGCAGTACTACTGTTCTTTCCCGTTTTCAAGTCAGTCGACTTTGGCCTGTGCAGTTTTGATCCCTGGGAAGAGGTGTGATCTGCTGGACTAGCTGGAAAATAACAACATGGGAAAGTATCCCCGACACAAAAGAGAGACCAAGCTGGAAGTGGAGCCAGTGACTTTGAGTGCATTAGGCCATGTATTGCAAATAAAAGTCCCCAGGAGAAGGGGGATTTGTCACTAAATAACCACCCCTCGTTTTGAGTTATTACTTTTGGGTCACAATGACTATCATGGATGTAAAAAGACTAAAAATGGACAATTGGACCAAACTGAGCCCCAGGGTCAGGGGTTTAACAAGGGCATGGCGGGTCTCCAAGGAGGACTCGAGTACTTACCCAGTGCCATTGAAGCCCAAGGGTGGAAGCAGCCGTGGCATGAAAAAGGTGGATCCATGACTTTCCACTACAAACCCTAGGCCGCATGTAAGGCGGCCTCCCACAGGGCCCTTCTCCATTCAAGTGGTACCACAGGACGTGGCATGTGGAGGGAAGGGGGCTGTCCAAACAGGATGGTGCCCAACCCCTGCTACACGGGCACTGTAGAAAAAAAAGGTTTGGGGGTATTAGGGGTAAATGGGGGTATGAAGTGGGGAGTGGTGACTCTGAAACTCATGCTAAGCTTGGCCCTACTCACAAAAGTTAAAATACAGAATACTGATGCTAACTGCATAATGCAAGAGGATGCAAGTTCATGACTAGGCCATCTAAGAAAGAAATAATGAGGTATCTCTTCCAGCTTATCTTGCTATATTCAGGATGATTTCAGACAGGCTCCTAGTTGTCTGGTGTGTAACCGCGTGAAATGTCTATCTTTGATTAATTAGTACGATAAATATTTATTTTGCGATTAACTCGTGCTTATGTGCAGGAAGAGACATTCTCCCTATGTGATAGGTGTCTCCTCCTGATTTAGTTTTGTTTCTGTTCTCTCATGATTTACCTTGTTTTTCAAGGACACGTATGTTTTTCCTGGTTGTTAATCAGATGCTTGATATGTTCCAAACTGGATAATCTCTTGTCACTGAAGAAGGTAACTCATTCAAATTAGAAATTTCTGATAACCAATAATGGGCAGGTTGATTAACAGGATTTCCTGTCAATTACTGCTTGGAACTCTCTTTTGATTTACACAACTACAAGAATTCTTTGAAGATACTAAGCTAAGGGTATTAAAAGGCGGTAAAACAGCAAACAGGATGCGTGCTTCAAGAGTGAGAAATCTTTGACACCAGCTGCTGATGTGCCCAACTTACTTTAGAAGTTGAAGAGAAACAGACTGCCTCTTTGTTGCCTGTTTTGTGAGAAATCATCACCTTATAGCTAATTACTGGACTTTGATTTGGTTTGGGCTCACTTGACTTGATTTTGAATACTTGTAGTAAAGAAAGCCTTTCTTATTTATAGATCTAGGGTCAGAAGGGACCTTGCAGATCCTCTAGTCCAACCCCCTGCCCTGGGCAGGAGAGAAAACTCAGCTCAAATGACCCCAGCTAGGTAATCGTCAAGCCTCCTCTTAAAGACCCCCAAGGTAGGAGCTAGCACCACTTCCCTTGGAAGTTGGTTCCAGGTCCTAGCCACCCTGACAGTGAAGTAGTGCCTTCGGATGTCTAGTCTGAACCTACTCTCTAACAATTTATGGCCGTTATTCCTTGTTACTCTGGGAGGCGCTCAGGGGACCAAGGTCTCTCCCATTCCCTGCTCGTCCCCCTTTGGTCAGTTTATAGATGGCCACCAGGTCCCCCCTCAGCCTTCTCTTGTGAAAGCTGAACAGGTTCAGGTCCCCTAGCTTCTCCTCATAGGGCCTGCCCTGCTGCCCCCAGATCATGTGAGTGGCCCTCCTCTGGACCCTCTCAATGCTGGCCACATCCCTCCTGAAGTGCAGCGCCAAGAACTGGATGCAGTACTCCAACTGCGGCCTGACCAATGTCGCATAAAGGGGATGTATCACCTCCCTAGACCTGTTTGTCATACATCTGTGGATGCAGGACAAGGTCCAGTTAGCCCTACTGCCCGTGTCCTTGCATTGGCGGCCCATGTTCATCTTGGAATTGATAATGACTCCAAGATCTCTTTCTGCCACTGTGCTTTCAAGAAGGGAGTTCCCCAGCCTGTAGGTACGCTGCTGGTTCTTACTGCCCAAGTGCAGCACCCTGCACTTGTCAGTATTGA